TCTCAAGTGTAGAGGGTTTGGGGAGAGATGGTGCAGGTGGGTTAAGGGATGCATATCTTCATGTCATTTCTCAATACTGGTGAATGGTATAGCGAGGGATTTCTCCCCTACAAAAGGGGTATTAGGCAAGGAGATCCGCTGTCCCCATTCCTTTTTACCCTAGTAGCTGATGTTCTAAGTGCCATGGTTTCAAGGGCTGATGCTAATAATTTGATAAGAGGTTGGAGGATTGGGAGGGAGGAGGTGGTGGTCACGCATTTAGAATTTGCAAATGACATCCTTTTGTTTGTGATGGGGAGGAAGGGGAATTATGGAACTTAAAGAGACTAGTGCTTCAATTTGAAAGGAAGTCCAATCTTAAAGTGAACTGGGGAAAAAGTTGTGTGGAAGGACTCAATTTAGGGGGAGAGGAGGTGGATTTCTTAGCTAGGATTTTGGGGTGTGAAGTGGGGGAGTGACCATTACAATATTTGGGGCTACCATTGGGAGGGAACCCAGCGGTAGAGAGCTTCTGGTACCTTGTGATTGAAAGATTTCCAAGAGGTTAGCAAATTGGAAGAGGAATTACATCTCTTTAGGGGGTAGGATGACCTTAATTAAGTCAACTTTGGCCAATTTGCCAGTTTATTTGCTGTCTACCTTTAGAGTATCTATGGAAGTAGCAAACCAATTAGAGAAGATAATGAGGGACTTCTTGTGGAACCAGGGGACACTAAGAGGGATCACTTAGTGAAGTGGGAGGTGGTTTCTAGGAGTAGAGATGATGGAACCCTTGGGTTAGGGAATATAAGGCTAAGAAATACGGCTCTGCTGAGGAAATGGATTTGGAGGCTACCGTTGGAATAGGACAAGCTTTGGTCAAGAGTGATTGTTAGTATTCATGGATTGGTAGATAATGGCCGGGATGCAGGACTCAACCCTGGGGCTTCTCGGTATTCTCCCTGGAAAGCTATTCAAGGTATTTTTCCTTTGATGCTCCCTTATTTCAAATATGATGTCTGCGTAGGGAATAAACTCTTGTTTCGGGAAGATGTTTGGGTTGGTGAAAACTCCCTTAGGGATAGATTCCCTTCTGTTTATTCATTGTCTAAAAACAAAAGGAAAGTGATCTCTTCAGTGTTTATTGATAATTCTTGGGATTTGGGCTTGAGAAGATTTTCTAGATCAGTCTAGTGGGGATAGCAGAATTTGGAAACCTTGCCCTTTTGGTTTTTTCAATTGCTCTTCTTTCTATAACAATTTTCTCCAGACTTTTAACCTTGCAGGAAACTTTGCTTCAAAGGAAGTGTGGTGTAGCCATGTACCTCCAAAAATTCAGGCCTTTTGTTGGGAAGTGGTGCTCCAAAAAAATCAATACCTTGGATTTATTGCAGAAAAAGAGGCCTAATATGTGCCTCTCCCCCCATGTTTGTAGTCTCTGCTTGGGTTCTAGTAAGACAATTTCACACTTACTAACCTCATGTCCCTTTGTGTTCTTTATTTGGTCCTAGTTCTCTTCTCTCTTTGGCTGCAGGTGGACTCCCCCTCGAGTGTGGTGAACCTCTTTGGTCCATCTTTCTACTGGCAACCAAAGGTTCGTGGAAGGGTTATGTGAAGAGCCACTAGAGCTGCTGTATTGTGGTCAGTGTGGGAGGAAAGGAACAATAGGATCTTCAAAGATAGTTGTAGATCCAAAGAAGAGGTTGTGGAAGGAATAACCACTAAGGTTATCCATTGGTTGTAATCTTGTGATCTTTTTAAGGATTTCTCAGCTGAAGACATTTATAGAAACTGGAGTACTATGGCAACTACAACTTCTTCCAAAGCTGTGGTACAGGAAGTTTGGTCCCCACCTACACAACAGAGGGTAAAACTGAACTTCGATGGAAGCTCTATGGATAATCTGGGCCCATTTGGTATAGGGGGTGTTTTCAGAGATAATGAAGGTAAGATATTGGCATTATATTCAGGTCCAGTTGGAGTTGGAGATTCCTTAAGAGCGGAAATCTTGGCACTATATCAAGGGGTAAAACTGGTCAAACGATTGGGGCTACAGCAGATTGAGATAGAGGGGGACTCCAAGTTGGTAATTGGGTGGATGCAATCATGAAAGCTGGGAATTTGGCAATATAGACAGCTGATAAGGGAAATACTTAGCATAACAAGGGAGGTGGGTGTTTGTTTCAAGTGGGTAAGGAGGTCAACAAATGGTTTTTCTGATGCTTTAGCTAAATAAGGGACTGTAAGGGAGAGACTTTACTGGGCAGTGCTGTAATGGTTGGTGTTTATTAGATCAACCTCTTCTAATAAGGGTTGACTCCTGTATTTCAGTTTTAATTTTAATTTATCTTTAATGAAAGTTACCATTTCTGATAAAAAAACTGTTGAAGAAGTTCAAGTACTTGACTGGAACTATGCAAATTAAGATCCAGTTGGTTAGTAGGGTGGCAAATGGCATGGCTGATATGTTAGCCAAGCAAGGGGTAAATAGAAATCGGCTTTTCTGGGCTGAATTGTAATTGGGTGGGGTGGTAGTTGATGTTTTTACCTCTTTGGGATTTCTATGTACTGGGGTTTCTTCATAATTATATAGTTTTATAAATTTTAATCAATGAGATGTTTTTGTTACCACTCGAAAAGGAAATCCTATGAATGTTAAGGGAATCTTGAGAAAACTAGAATGGGAAACATTGATGAGGGTGCCAAGAAACAGGAGGGAAACCAGGATAAGACAAGTGAGACCTACCGGGAGGTAGATGAGCTGAATATCATGTTGACCAGCAGGATAGAGGATTCAAAGATCACAATTCTGAGGCCAAAAGGTGATTGGCAGCACAGATGGTCCTCTTGGAAAACAACTGGTAAAAAATTGGAGTGTTGTGGGTGATGAGATTAAGAAACAGATCCAGTTTAATGGTCCAATGGTGATAATACCTTTCAAATGTGATAAGGCTATCCTTGAGCTGGTAGGGTTTGGGGATGAAATCTATGCACTGGTAATGAAAACAGATGAAGGATTAGTGACAGTAGGAAGATGGATTCTGATAAGTAATTCGATCCATGGCCCTATTAACTTGGGACATGATAACTTAAAAACTCATGTGACCTTGGCTGAGTTTTGAAAGCCCTTAGACTAAAATCCAGGTCTATCATCTTCCTCTTTGAGACGAGCGAGATCAACCTACCTTTCAATGGGAGGGCTGGGTCAGGTTTTGGCTCAACTCAGGCCCAACCCTAAGAATTGGGCCTAAAGCCTGAGTTCAAGGTCAAACCCAAGCCCAGTCCACACTAAAATTTGATGTACTCGGGTTGGGCTCAGGCCCATGTGGGGCTCGTGTTGGTCAATTAGCCCACACTAAAAATCGATATACATGTGTGTATATGTATGCATGTATTCATATATGTATAGTTTATTAAAAATATGCACATATAAATGTATTTAATTGGTCTAGGCTTGGGTTGGGATAAGGTTGGGCCGGGTTCAGGCTTCCTAAGGGCTAGGCCCGAGCCCAGCCTGAAAAATTTAAAAGCCTGAACTTTTGGATCCAGGCCCAGCTCATGTAAAGTTGCAGGCTGGGTAGGTTTGGGCTCGGGTTAGTCCCGCCCAAGTTGCACCCTTATTTAGGGGCATTTTAAACCATTACGTTTCCTTTAGGACCTCCCACTCAGCAACCTACATCCTTAAGTGATTTACATCAAAGTTCTGAACGGGGATTGGATGAGTGCATTAACCAAATTGTTCTGTTGTCTGCAAATCTCCAAACCCCTCTATAGTCAGGTACAAATGTGATTTCGGTTTTGGGTACTCAATACTCATTGACTTCTTTCTGCTGTTGCAGAGATGGATCCAGCATCCCAGTCACCTGATGTCACTGTTTATTTAGTAAAGGCTAAATGTGGGAATGGAAGCTGTTGTAGAGAACAGTTGGATCAAAGGAATAACTAGGAAGGGGGAGAGATTGTGGCAGCTAATTATGACTGTTTTTGAAGAACTGAAGGGGAAGGGAGTGGAGGATATGGAGGAATAGAAGAGAGCATTCATATAGTGGAGGATTGGGCTGGTCAGGGTTCTCTCTTAGGTTGGTGAAAAGGGGAAAAATGGGAGTCAAGCACTGCCGGAGTTGGCTGCAAGTACGGGGGTTCAGGTAAGCACACTCAAATAAGCAAAGGTCTATGTAAGGAAAATTGGTGGGGAAGGTAAAAGAAAGATGAAGAAATTGAGTGAGGTGGAGAGGTTGAAGTTTGATGTAAATGGGGACAAGGAATTCAGTTGGAGAGGAGAAAGGCAGAAGGGGAGTAGGGCTTGCCATGAAAGTTTAAAATGAAAATAATAAGCTGAAATGTTAGAGGTCTTGGCAGCGCTAGAAAAGGTGGGACAGACATGAAAATCTTGGTTTTTTCCTTTTTTTTTTCAGAAAAGTAGTAGAAAAATATTATATCTTCATCAATCTTTTGTGGGTCAGAAATCTTCTTAAATTCGTGCTCTACTGAAATCTAGGGTAGTTATCAGATTCACAGAACCTTGCTCTGATGCCAAGTTGTGATATCATCTCAAATGTAAAGGAAAAGCAGAAAATAAGGAGAGGTAGAAGAGACTTGAGTTTGTGAGAATTGGGTCATGAGGTCATCATTCAACCAAGTTGTGTGATATCATCTCAAATCTATAACTGTAGGAATTTCCCGCTTAAAATTTTTTCAGTTTTTGGTTGTGACTTTGTGTTAGTTTCTGATGTCAACACCTGTATCCTGGTTGCATCTTTTTTTTTTTTCACTCTGTAGTTTCTGAGAATATCTATAACCATATGACCTCAAGTAATGGCATTCACTAGAGCAACAAATGGAATAAGATATTACTAAACTATTGTTGTTGAGAGCAAGGTTGGTTCTCCACTATCTACCAAGCACTAGTAGATGTTTAGTGGAGTCTGCACCCCACCTGTGTGACTCAAATGTTAATATAAAACATGTTTTTTTTTCTTCTTCTTTTCTAAAAGGATTTTCTTCTTTTTCTTTTATATCAGGAAAGAAGATTTGCAATTCTGGTGTCATCACTTCTTTCAAGTCAAACCAAGGATGAAGTTACTCATGGCAAGTTCTAATGATTATCTATTTCCTGAGGATTTGCAACTATACGCTAACCTATAGGCCCAGGGAAAAATTTTTCAGTGAGTGCAAACAACCTATGTATGCATTTTCTGTCCATGATTGGATATCAGGACACATGGTGCATTTCTGAGGGGCTAGTTGCAGCATTATGCAGTTTGCTCTGCACAAATTTTACCAGATTATTGCTTTCTAGTAGACACCCAGAGGAACCTGATGGATAAGATACTCCACTGTCTAATCATGTTGAATTTCATCATAGTATTTTTCCTTTTTGGGCTTGATAAACTATAGTCCTAGGTCTTGCATTTGTGATGCTTATATAGTTGGTAACTGCATCTACTATACTCAGGCAATTTATTGACTCCATTCTGTTACTTTCTTCACTTCACTAAATTCTTTTAGAGGTGCAGGAGCAATCCAGCGGCTTCTTCAAAATGGTCTACTTGCTGCTGATTCCATTGATAATGTTGATGAGGCAAAAATTAGGAGTTTGATTTACCCAGTATGTTTCTCTTAGGCCACTCATTTGGGAATCACTAGAAAGTTGCCTAGTTGACTTTACTCAACATAAGCTCTCAAATACAGATTTAAAGGGTGACTCAATCTAATTTGATCTATTTTATTTTGTGTCACTAAGTGGGATTCTGCAATAACTTAATTTAATTAGGTTGGATTCTACTCGAGAAAGGCTTGTAACTTAAAGAAGATTGCAAATATTTGTCTAACAAAGTATGGAGGAGACATCCCTAGTTCACTGGAGGAGTTACTATTACTTCCAGGAATTGGCCCCAAGATGGCTCACTTGGTAGGATCAAATAACTTTACTTTCAGAAGAAACAATTTCATGGATTTATTTATTTATTTATATGTTATGGTGTAGGTTATGAATGTTGGATGGAACAATGTACAAGGCATATGTGTAGACACTCATGTACATCGAATTTGTAATCGACTAGGCTGGGTGTCACGGCCAGGCACCAGGCAGGTATGTTACTGCAATTCTTCTAAGGAGTACCTCTAAGGTGCATAAATGAAAGTCCAACTTAATGTCAACAACTATAGAAATGGATATTTGATGGATCATACTTAAGATGCATGCTCAATATCTGATCCAATCACATAAAGAGCGATTTTCTTCAATTTACCTTTTCTCAGGATTTTTTGCCTTAAGTTATCCAGCTATCTAAGTGGGGTGCTGAAATCAGGTTTTCTTAATTGGATCATATTATAGCAAAGATGGTCTGGTAGGTTCTTTTGTGAATCTCCATTCTCAGCATGTCTGAGGTTGGCAGTACACCTTTTGGGTCAACTAAGGGGCTGTGTGGTAAAAACTGCCACATCAGATTGAGTTTATGGTCAATTTTCTGTTTGGTTGGACCGTTGGAGACATTTTGAGTTAAGACGGTCATAAACCACATGAAAATTTGTGTTAGGTGGTGTTTATAGAAATGTGAATTTGATATTTTTATTTTCTATAGGGAGCAAAGTCTCAACACCTTGACTGATGTGGTGATGACATGGATGAAATTTCTCATTGTTGGTGTTGGTGTGAAAATTTTAAGAAACATGCAAAACATAATTCACTCAATCAAATGTGTTGAGCAAGAGCAAGTGAAGAGAGGAGAGGAGAAGAGAGAAGAGAGATGAGTCGAGTGACTGAAAGCCCTCCAGAACTTAGGGGGCGAAAGAATGATTTTATTATTTATACTAGTACAGTCGAACAATATAAACAGAGGAGAAATTACAACAGTACCCTTATGGTACTAAATCTGAATACATAAACAACTGACAACAGAATGAATTGCATTCCTACCAGCCATCTATTGGTATGAGAACTAGCAACTCAACAAAGCCAAGTTTGTTATGGAGAAGGGAAACAAAGGGTGAAGTGGCGGTCTTTCTGCTGGCCAAGAAGTGGAGAAGAGAGTTGGAGTATGAAGCAAATAAATTTATGTTCAAAGAGTGCAATAGCAATGGACAGGGATCACTGACGATTAGGGAGGAGAAGAAAGTGACAATTTTCCTCCTTGGAGAAGCAGCATTATGGCTGAAAGGATTTATGGATGGAGCAATATACTCGGTGAAACAGAGCAGGTGGAGGAGTCAATTTGGGGTTTTAAGGAAGAACTACACAGAACTAAAATGTATGGGAAAGAGTGGTTTGTGGCAGTCATGGAGGTCTTTGGGGAGGGCAGAAAGCAGACAACCTGCATTCCAGAAGGAAAAGGAAGTGAAGGGTGGAAGAAATTTACAGATGTATTACAAGATTACTTGATTTACAATGAAGAAAACAAAATATTCATTAACAAAAGAAGAAAAATAGAGACAAGACTGGGAGTATATTAACATGAGAAATGAGGAAACTCCAGTTTCAAGTGGTGAAACAGAGAAGGTGCTGGAACTGGTATTTCAAGCACATTGAACTCACACAAAATGGATTTGGAAGCAGAAAAAAGGGGTATGGCAGAAAAGGTATGTACTGACAGTGGGAAGGAAAATTGAAAATTGGAAATCAGTTGTTGATTTGATAGTGGAGAAATTCAGGATCAAATCAACCTTGGTTGTTCCTTTTAGCAAAATGAGCGCCATACTTGATATTGGTGATGAAGCAGTGGAATTCTCTTCCATACAAACTGAAGACGTTACAGTGAGGAGCTTCAACATAAAGCTGGTTGAGCTTCCATTCAATCTCTAGAGAAGGTCAGCACTTATTAGAATCACCAGAGTGATGGGTGGAAGGTTGGAGGGTTGCTGCTTTGATAATTTGCAGGCGGTCAGGGCAAGGATCCAAGAGCTCTAAACCAGAGGAAATACCAAGATCCTTGGCCATCTTCACAGATAATCTGTGGAGGAGGATTTGGTTGTTGACGGAAGTGGAAGCAGATCTGTGGAAAGGGATGTCAGAGGAGGAATACAAAGCTGAGGTGGACTTTGGGGGCTTATGTGGAGAAGGGGGAGTGGTGGGAGGGAGAAGGGGAAAGGTCACAGCATATGGTGGGGAAGTTGAACAGTCGAATAACCAAATGTTCCACTGTTTAGAAAAAGGGTCGCTCTTTTGCTACAATGGTTAAGGCGGGGGTGGTATCTGAACCAGTGTGGGGACCAAATGACTACAATAATTTTTTTTTTTCAGTAATGGGAATAAATGACTAATAAATTGGTTCCTACTAGGTCTGAATCGATGGGGAACTGGGTGGACTGCAGACTGGAGTTGAACCAGAGAGGTGGTAATGCAAAATGATGGACTGGCCCATGTGGCTCGATTAGTAGTCACGTGAGGGACAGAAATGAAGGACCGACTGGGGACAAAGACTTGGTTCTATCATTGTCCCCAAAACAGGATTCTTTGAAAGGAATTCCCATAAGCTAGACCAGAGACAACTTTCAGTGGGTGCCGACGGTAAACTCTGAAGGAAAAGATGTGGAGTTGAAGTTGCTGGATTGTCCAAACCCAAGATACTCCAGGATGCGTTTGGAGGAAAATGAGGTTTAAGATGGGGGGCTGGGTAGATTATGAACAATCAGAGGAAGAGGAAGACGAAGACGATTCAGAATCAGAGATTGGGGATGACAATTTGGAGGAGAACACTAACATGGCAGATAGGGGGAGGAAGTTTACAACACTGATATTCTCTTTGACAAAGAACAAAATAGGGAGACATTTGCGTTTGTTCATTGTCTATCTAATGAGGATAGAAGACTTAACAAGACTGAGTACACTTTGACTACAGGGGAGGAAAGTCTAAGACTAAACAAGGAAAAACCTGACCACTTGAAGAACATTACACAGGGTGTCCGTAAGGAGGTAATGGTTGACAACTAAAAGCTACAAATGAAGTGTGCTAGAAAGGTTCAATAATAGATAGTGTGGTAGAAAGGTTCATATTTTTCTTTCTAGGTCCTGGGCAAAATGTTTCAACTACATCCTAGTGCTATTCTTGTGCCTTCTTCCCATCACATCCTAGGTGTGTGTGAATTCTGTTTTTAGTACTAATCCTTGTTCTATGTCTGTAGTTCGGTCTTCCAGATTACCAGTAGCTGTTAAGCCACAAGCCTAGAAGTCTGGAAGTATAGAAGTGGGTAGGGAGTTGAGAGTAGAGAGTGAAGAGGAAAGGGGAAGAAAAATTTGGGAACTGATAGAAAAATTTTCGGAGGAGTTAAAAAGGAAGGAATTGGAGAAGGAATATTCTAATAACAACAAGAGGGATGGAGATTCAATTGATAGTATGAGGGATGGAGTGGAAGGAGGTATGGAAGGCAGGGTGAGGGAAGAAGATGAGAAGATTAAGGAGAATGAGAAGGGAGATTCTGTGCCTGAGTTTGTAGGAAAGCTGGGGTGTAACCTGAAGAATCCAAATGAATTAAAAGTCTTTCCAAGAAGAAAGGAAGAGGGAAAGGTGGAAAAGGAAGTTAAGTGAGGCCGAAAGATTAAAACTTGATGTGTAAGGGGACAAGGAATTTAGGAAGAGGGCTGGGGAATGTAAGAAAGAGGGCTATAATAAAGGATTCTAAGGAAAGAATATCCAGATGTAGTGATGTTCCAGGAATCTAAATTGGTAGAATTTGATTCAAGGTGGGAATAGTTGGGCAATGTGTTAATCTTGTGGGGCTTTAGGAGGCATAGTGACCTTATGGAAAGAGGAGATGATGGAAGGAGTGTAGGAACTTATTTGAAACTTTATTATTTCCATTAAGTTTAAACAGAGGTTAGATGGATTTGAATGGGTGTTGACAAATATAGATGGCCCAAATGGATATAAAGAAAGACAGGATGCGGGAGTATTGGAAGACATTGGGGACAGGGGACTTTGGGATGGACGATGGTGTATAGGTGGAGACTTCAATGTAATCAGATTTATAAAAGAGACTAACAAGGTGATGGAAAGGGTCAACACAAGCATGAGGAAATTTAATGATTTTATCGACAATTTTGAGTTAAAGGATGTGCCTTTCCTGCATAATAACTATACTTGGTCTAACCTTCAGGCAGCTCCTATTTGTTCTTTACTTGATAGATTTTTTTTCGCTTTAGATTAGGAGGAACATTGGGGAGATGTAGTGCCTAGGGCTTTGCTTGGGTAAAATTTGATCATTGACCTATTATTATTGTTAAAGAAGAGTTGGGTAGTAGAGGCCCAACCCCTTTTAGATTTGAGAACATGTGGATTTGTTGAAAAGGTAAATGAGTGGTGGGATGATGATAGTAATCCAAGGGTAAATTTGGAGGGAATGAAGTTCCATTGGAAATTAAAGGAATTAAAAGAAAAGATAAAAGATTGGAACATCCAAAACTTTGGAAGGATTGAATAGAGGAAGCAAGAGATTTTTAGTTCTTGGCAATAAATCTGATTGAAATATGAGGAAGTAGAGAAGAGAAGGGAAGAAGAGAGAAGAGAAGAAGAAAGAAAGGAAGAAGAAAAGGTTTGAGCAATGGAACAGTACTGGCGGCGCCAACTTCTATTATATTATATAGGGCGGCAGAAATAAGAAGGGAAAGGACTCTTGTGCCCCTGATGTAAGTGAGTACAATAATAGAAATAAAAAAAAAGCTTTAACTAGCCAAACAGGCCCTAACACAAATAACTAAATTATTTCAACACTCCCCCTCAAGTTGGAGCATAGATGTCAATCATGCCCAACTTGTCACACAAATCATTGTGCCGCACATGATGAAGACCTTTGGTGAAGATATCTGCAAGTTGTT